TTATTTAAGTATCTGGATCCAAAAGATTATTAGATTTCTTCTTTTTTCCTTCGAGGGAAGAAAAAAAGCTCATAGAAGAAAATATTCTACCCATAGAAGAAAAAAATGAATTACATACATGAAAAAGTTGTATACATCAATATGTATATACCGTTATGGAATCTTATTATTTTTCTCATTTGTATTTATCGTTTATCTTCTATTATAAATAATAATTTTTTATCTATTATTATGCATTTATTTACTTGGTTTGACTCTAAAGTGATTTGTTAGAAAGTAAGGGTGTATTCATTCATATTTTAATGAAACTATATATGGTAAATTTAATCCCCTTTGGTTTTTGGAAGAAGGGAGAGGGGAAGGGCAAATTGAATGGATCCATTTAAAAAAATAAATTAATTAATAAACTTCCCCACGAAAGGGGAGAAAGGACGTATTTTTTTTACTTTATATATTTTAAAATTTTATATAATATAAAAGTACAAAGCGTTAAAATCTATTTTATCAAACAAGTAATATTGTAAAAAATTGATTTTTTTTAATGTAATTTATTCTTTTACTTTTTCATTCATTTAAATAAGTAGAGCTAAAAAATTGCCTATAAGAATTGACATATAATTTTATCTATTAGAATTGACATTTTTTTTAACTCATGAGAATTATAATGACAAAACATGAATCGAATCAAGAATCATATATATATATATATACTATTTCAACTTGAACTGCTATATATATGCCGACCCTAGTGTAAGTATAAATATGATTAGTTTATGGTAAGGGAATTAGAGATAAGGTAATGAGAAAAATGGTTGGATTGTAGGCAAGTGTCGGAAGGGCAGCAAAATGAAAGAAACTAAACAAAGGAAGAGGTGCATGATGATTGATGAGTGGACAAGTTGTTGAGGCAATTGCAGAATTCAAATATTTAGTGACCATGACATAACCCAGTAGACAAGGGCAAATTAACGTTCTATGTCCCATGTTCACGAGGTTAGTGGAGAAATAATAAAGGACAGTATCTTTCCTTCCCTATATTCACTGCTCCTTATTTAAGATTCTTGTCCCACTCCAATTTCTAACACATTCACCAAATCATACAATTTCTTGCATTCAATTCTCCCTCAGATTTACACATGCATGGTGTAAATACAATTATATCTTGTGGGACCAATTCATATTCGATTTTTCTTCATCGTTTTTTATATATATACAAAAATACACCATGCCATGCATGCTCAGGAGAATTCAAACGTAAGATTTTACCAACAAAAATTAAACATATACCGTTTCAGCCATGCACTCTTGATATATTACATTTTATACTAAATAGTTCTCATCATAAAAAAATGAATTTAACTTTTTACTATAAACCTATATATAAGAGACAATGTTACTCTGACTGAGTAAGATAATATAAACGATAAAAAAATTTCCATTTGAATATATAATATAGTTTTATATATATCGATAATTCAAATTTAACTATTAATTGAATAGGCGATAACAATTTTATATCAATTGATAAACGTGTTTGGTAGTTCAATTCAATATAATGAATTTATATAGAGTGTATGTTAATATATATATTTTTTTTGAAAAATAAATATATAGTAAGAATTCATTTTCTGATATTGATGAATATAATAAGATGGAATTCTTTGTAAAGAGATTTATAGTAATTAAAAAAGAATTGGGGTGTTATATATGGAAGAAAGAAAGAAAGAGGTGTTATAGTTCCAATTGGACAGTAACAGCGGTGACAGAAAAAGCTTCACGAGATACTTGGGATGAGACTCTCTCTATTAGACTATTACCCTTCTTCATTCTCTCTACTTTTCTACCATCTTCTTCTTCCTTATGTCGAAATCACAATTATTGTATCTCAAACTCTTCCTGCCACCTTCCACCTAGTAACAAACCTTATCTGCCTATTTATTTTTAAAATCTCATTCACTAACAAAAATCATTCACATAATATATATATATATATGACATATTTTTCTTTTATTTCATACTGTAAAATTTGAATCATCAACGTTTAACCAAATTATCCACAATTCAAATCTTAATATTGAATTCTTGGGTATAACATGGATTATACTGTAAAGGAAATACTAATATTCTTTATCACTCTCAATCATCTTAAAAATTAATACCAAAGATTGGTCGAGCTATAACGATAATTAATGCCTTCAATTTACCGAGATTCCCTTAATACGGAAGCTATGCTTTCCTTACATCAGTACTTGATTATAGGTTATCTTTTGTAGGTTAGGATCATCTTCATGTACTTGAATTCAGGGGCTTGCTTAAGTTAGAGTCGCTGAAAAAGTTGGTAAGAACATAGACCAAGTCGCTAGTCTTCAACTAAATTCAAATTCTTTAGCTTATGTTTAATAAAGAAGAAAGAAATTAATGAAAGGAAAAGAAGAAGAAAAAAAAAAGAAAAAGAGAAGAGAAGTATGAAGAAATGGATAAAAAATAAAGTAAAAATAAAGGTGTTTTGGTAAAGGAAAAATAAAAGAGAAATAAAGTGGAAGTTTATTTTTTTTATAAATAATTTTATCTGAAAATAGTAGGTAAAAATTATTATTATTATTATATTTATTTATTAGTATTATTGAAAGTTTATTTTTTATAATTAATTTTATTTATAAATAATAAATAATTTATTATTATATTATTGAAAGTTATAAATTTTCATTTAAAAATACTAAATAAAAATTATTATTATTATCATCATAAAAATTAGATTGTTTATTATTTTTATTATATATATTTAATAAATTTTTTTTATCAAAAATTATTACTTTTTTAACCTTCTCACACTTCCTTACACTTCCTTATTGATGTTCTCCTCCATCTTTCCTTTACCAAATAAACCCTTAAGATTTCATACCGAAAAAATATAATTGAGAAAAAGAATTACTAAAAGTAGTTAATTAAATTATTTGACAAATAATAATCATTGACAACTTAAATTAATAGATACTTTACGCTTGTAATTAACATGATGACGCAAATAAAATTATTAAATAAGTTATTAGTAACATTAAATATTGCATTTTTAAGAATTTCATGTTCATATATCGTTAATGTTATTATAATAATGTTTAAACAATCAACTAGTTAAAAATATTCTAAATATGTATATTAAAATAATTATTAAAAAATTTAACAATATTATTATATATTTTATTCCTTAAACATTACTACCTTAAAATAATACTTAACGTACAAGACCATCAATTAAATAATACGAAGAAAATAATTAGAGAACGGTACATTTGCAGAATATTTTTACTCGTTGGCACTATTTTTATATGGTAATTAGCTAGTGGAAGAAATACACTTCGAATTGACAAATAAGAAAAATGTAGTAGGGTTATGAATAGTTTATAACAATTAAAAAGAAAATGTGAGAGATGTAAGATACTAATAAAATAAAATAATGAGTAATTACAACGATTAAAGAAATAATAAGTACCTAAAATTTGAAAACCAAATGCTAGCATTGATTTTTATTAGATGTATACAACCATAGATACGATTAAAACATATTTTATAAGTCACCTGAAATCTTATAATGCGATTACTTATTGTCATTTTTCGCATGCATGAAGATACAATATAATTATTTAAGTTAGATAAAACACAAAAGGTTACTTGAAACATGAAAGAACCCATTCTTTCCCCATCATAACAATTCATGTAAACACGATACAATGTTATTCATAATTATTGGTTTTGTCTTGACCTCCATAATCCATTATTCAATCCGTTGATCAATTTGTGATGCAAATCTCGTGCATCCCCCTTCCGTACCAAATTGTCTGTTTCCTCAATACAAAGTTATTATATAAACTTATGATCCCAAGATAATTAAAATTACACAGAGAAACAAATTAAATATAGTCACAGGTGTATACTGCATATGGTATCTCGTATAGAGTATAGTGCTAGCTTGGAGAATTGGACAAGTTGATTTTCTTGTCACGTACCACATTTTACATGCGACGACAAAACTTTAACATTCGTACAATTACGACCTTCCATGCCAAGAATGTTATAGCCTATATACAAGGTTCCCGAGTTAACTTCAATTTGACGTACAGCTAAGCTATTTTGCTTAGTTGTAAACCCAGAGAAAAGATATACTATGAATGGATAAGACTTTCCAATGTGAATGATAATCAAACAAATGAACATTTCGTGAACCAAAAGATAGCACATTTACGTTTCTTCTTGTTTTTGTGAGATCAAATAAAATCAACATCTGAAAAATATATTGTCAAATAATATTCACGTGCTCATGGAATCATAGTCATAGCCGCATATGGATAAATAGACTCCATGAGATGACATTGGCATTCCCAAGAGGGAACAACAAGCTACCTTCATTTTTTTAATGTCATGTGTTGAGTTGAGACACATTCATTAGAGCCAAGAAAGATGAAGACTCTATGTATGATAGAATTAATTTTAAGGCAATTGATTTGTGATTATATACGATACTTGAAAAGTTTTTTTTTTAATTTTTAAATTACCCTTTGATTCTGATATGTTTCACCTTGATTACTATTTGGAGGAGTGAAAAATACTGTAAAAATATATACACATGACTAGCTAAAAGTAACTGAATTAGATTGCGTGGGTGAACAAGAAGTTTTATAACGCCAGCTTGTGTTGAAACTTGAAACCCGAGATTTATCCAAACATGTTGTGAACATTACTAACAATAATTTTTGAATGTGAAGGTTAAGTAAGAGGCTGAAATTGTGAAACTAGTGGGCCACCAAAATCTTGATTTTTTTATTAAAGTATCTTGATCTTGCATTTTTGTTTTTAATGTTGGTACTAAATGAAAATCTTTTAAATAAAAAAAATGATGCAATATAATTTGGGTTAGATTGTGAAGTGCGATGAAAGATATATATAGGTAAAAGGAAAAAAGAAGGAAAGTGATATAAATGTTAATATGGAGTTGACATAGATAATAATTAGGCAAGAGAGGAAAAGTTTGTTGGAGTTGCAGAAGGAGACAAAAAGTGGGTAAGTGTGTTGTGATCCTCCCTCGTCTGAATCTGAAACAAAAAGCAATGCCCTTTTCCCTCTGCAACATCTTCCCTCTTTAACTCCGTGTTTCCCCATTGTTGTGCAAAGGCATGTCCACAATAAACAACGTTCCCTGTCCCTGGATGGAGGAAAGAGAAGACGAAAACTCTGCTTGTGTTTCTGCTTCGTGGCCCATTAACTCGAGGCCCAACAACATGATAAGCAGCGACACAAACACAAGCTCTGGTTTCCTCCCAAACGACTTGTGCGCCTTGAAGCCCATGGTGGAAGAAGAATGGTACCAACACCAACACCAACACCAAGACATCACCTTCGACCCCGACAACCTCTTACTCCTCAACCTCAACCCCTTCGACCTTCCCTTCCTCGACCCTCTCCCTCTCCCTCTCCCCGACACCCCCCTCCCTCCCCCTCCCACCTCCTCCTCCTCCGACAACCCCCTCTTTCTCAACCGCTCCAAGCTCCTCAGACCCCTCCACTCCCTCCCCCCCTCC